ATGTTCCCCCAGCGTCTTGTAGATTTAAAAAAAAAAAAAAGCAAGCTTTCCACTGAAGCTACCAAAAAAAAAAATCTAATATAAAAATGTATTCTTCTCAATGCGTTTCCCTCCTGTGGGCCATTTCACGCCCCCCAAATAAATCTTTAAGGTTGCAAGGAGGGGGGAAAAAAGAGGTGCCTTGATGACAGAAAAGCAAGTCCTGCCATGATAATGTCCTTTATTAATATTATAGATGTGTAGTGTGCTGGATGGATCAATCATATCCATTCACAATCAGGATTAAGAGAGCCTATTTTAATGAAAATCTATTAGTCTCTCATTTACGACACGGATGTTGCTTAAATCAATAAACAGCATAAAAGAGAATACGACGCAGGTTTCTAAATTAAAAAAAAAAATCCCATCTATGAAATGTGTTAAGACGACTCTAAAATCCTGAAACCCTCGATCGATACTTATAAATATTTAATGTTTTTTTTTCCTAAACACAAATTGAAAACCATTAACACTGCATCCATTCTTATTATTAAAACAAATTGTCCTTGGAATTATGTGCTGTGGAAATGGAGCCAGATTGAAAGGGCATCCTCTGAAATATGTTTACTCGCTTTCATGTAAACCAATAAAAATCTGCAGGAGTCTGTAGCGTGAGCAGAAAGGTTTGATGTACAATGTCCATGATTACAGTCTCTGAATTAATCACGAGAGAGGGAGGGAGGGGGACGGAGAGCCAGGACTCGGTTACCTACTCAACAAAATCTTGCTCTTCGGGTCAGCGCTTATTAAAGCGTGGATTAAACCGATGATTTTTATGATTGTTTATTTGCCCCATTTCGACGAAAATAAGCTGTAGCGGGGAGGAGGGAGGGAGGAAATCGGTTTCGCCCTACGTCATACCATGAGTCAATCTACAAATGTAAATTCCTCTTATAAATATAAAATCCAATATTTTGCCTTGGAAATGCTTAAAGCTAATGCAACGCTTAAACTCATTCATAATTATTCCTCTCGCTTAAATCGCAGGAAAAAAATAAATACAAAACTCAGTGGTCGAGAGCTACCTTTGAAAGGGGATTTTTTTTTTAAAAAAAAGCACGTCTACTGATACTTAACGCTAAATAAGCGCTCTTCCCTGTATCTGCTCCGGGGCTATTCCCTGGCAGGGCGAGATCCCCTGCTCCCAAATGTCACCTCGCACCCTTGCCCCACTCTTCGCCGGGTTTTGAGCACCGGGGGCCGGACACCGACTCCCTGC